TATACTCCAAAAGGCGTATTGAGTGACAATAATTACGTTTTACGTATCAAGTCAAATATTTTTTAAAATGCCATGCTTGGTTGTTCTAATTAAATGGTGTCTTAAATATCATTACTAGATTGAATCATCGACTGGCTCACTTTTAAGAGAAGATAATCATCGTACCAAAGACTCTCACGTCGCAAAGATTCCTTAACGCAGGTTATGCTGCCGCGCTAAGGAAAAATGCCATATGAGCCTTTAAACGTTGCTAAATTTCCATGAACAAATCGCAAATAACCGGGGAAAATTGTTAAAATTTTTCTTCCGATTTTTCAGATAATTTTGTTTGTCATTTGTTCTAGAGGGCCTGAAAGTTTAAAAGAAAAATATTCATATATAGCTTGCCTAGAATATTATTGTTTTCAAAGAGCGGGGAATCCCCCAGTACTTCAATAATGAGATGAATCAGGCTTGACAGTAAAGCTGAAAGCAAGCGTATATTGCGAATTACATCGCATATTTTGATCAATATGAAAGAAAGTTCTATTATTCACAGCTCGCACGGAGCGCATCGGGGGACCAGGGAGCGTCAATTCAAATATTGGCGCTTACTTTTAAAAAGAAGCGCTGCAGTTATGCGTTAGCCAATCACAATTCAAAAAAAAAGCGGCCAGTCGCTACTGCTCTCTACCGGCGGAAAACGAAACTATCACAGACGTTTCTTCCCATGATGCACTGCTCGTAACGATGCTCGGCCATTCATGACGTTGTCATGTCATGTTTGTGAAATTTTTAGTCGGCTCACGCACTGATTCCGAGAACGCGGCGTATATTTTACGGGAAATTTGAAAAATTCTAACGGTTCATTGAGAAATTCGTGATGTGTTATCGGTGAATTGGATACAACTCGACGCGAGATAACTCATGAATGAGTGCTGCAGTTACCTCGGTGTTTTTGTGTACAACTGTGTTATCGCGTGTTTCCAAGCCACAATATTATCGTGAAAAAGTGCCATGTGATTTCCTACCTGCTTTGGATTTGTTTTACAGTTTACTGCATGTTTGTGGTTTAACCCCCCTTTTTCTCTAATCGCATGTTTTTGTGTTGTGATTTAACTATTAATCCTTGGTTTCCATTTGTCTTACCCAAGTAAAAGGAGACAAAAACACCATCTTCAACCACTCAGGTATGTTAATTAACTTTCAAACTGAAACGTTTTTGGAGGAAATCATGAAGGCATCCCTATACTTGTTTACCTGAGTTACCTCAGAGGATCATGTTCGTTGGGCAATGAGTTCCCCAATTACTTTGAATTTATATCCTAATGCTAGCATCAAATTCCCTTTGCGTCTGATGGCCCAGCAGCTCAACAAGTGGGTGACCCCAGTTCAGCACATTCTTTACTGCAATAAGTATCCTAATCGTAAACCCCAAGTTGATTTCCTCCAAAACGTCATACTTTTCTGATTTGCATGAGTATTTTTCTGCGAAGTGAATTAAATTCATAGACTTGAGAAGTCTTGTACAGTACCAAAGTGATTTTCATCAATGTCGATCTGTTAATTTTAATTTAAGTACATACCTGTTGCGCTCATGAAGGAATTTCAGTTTGTTACTGAGATGGTTTTGATGGGATCTGTTTAACTGAGTTGAATATTTAGAATTAAAATTTGACAATTGTCAATAAGCACTGAAGCTAAGTACACCTGCGCTGGAAAATCGTTAACTTTTTCTCATGATTTGAATCAATTGGTGCTTGCCAATGTATAGCAATGCATATTACGTACAAATACTTAAGTAATGACTGCAGATTATAACATTCTGTTTAGTCAAACTCAGTCAGATTCACAATCTGTTGGATGTAGTCGTATCTCTGTAGTCTTCAATTGCAGAATCTTGATTAGGTAGTATTCGTATCATAAAAAAATAGGCAGGTCTTAATCTTTTCAATTTAGAGTGATTCAAGTAAATAGGTAGCTGGCAGACAAATTGCGAGTCTATGAAGTGAGTGCTGAGAGACTGATTTTAATCAGAGAGAAAATTGATGACCTTATGTTAGACGAGCGAGTTAATTTGTCAAAGGCTGACTTTATACCTCTTTTATTTTAAGTCCTTTTGCAATTGCGGTAGCATTCATTTCTTGACCACCAGGTTCAATAAGAAATAGTTGATTGGTTGAAAATCCTCATTTTAATGAGAATAGTTAACACATATCTTCCATGTTATTACTGATGTTGAAGGCAGTCATGTTCACATTTAATGTTACTCAGAACATGAAAGTTAATGGGTTCCTTTTGTCAGGAGTAGAAATCGAGAAAAGCACTTCTGATTTAAAGTACCATTTGACGGGAGAAAATGAGTGCCGGCATTCACTTTCCAGTGTTTACTAAGTACCTATTCATGCACACTGAATTGCCCTGTTAGCCGGCCTGGAAACCAGATATTGACTTCTCAGCTGTTGTTGCCATGGTAGTCGTACATCCACTTACATTGTGAAGATGAAACATTGAATATTGGTCTTATGCATTCATGCCATACTTTTCTCAAATGCTTATTAGGTATTTGCAGGATTTAATCATTCATTCAGCCAGAGGTTTACTTTAAAGTGTTTTTAAACCCCTGAGCAGATTTAGGAAAAGAGCGTTTTCTTGGTTGATTTCTCTAAATATTTGTTCTGTTCTCTATTATTGATCCATTTCTATAAGTTCGGAGCATTTTTTTTGACTGAAGAAAATTTTGCCGAGAATATTTGAATCACACGCGTCGGTCACGTAAACCAGTAGAATGCCCAGCATGATCTTATTGAGGTTAAATGGTGTTTTGCTTTGGAACATTAAATTTACTAATCGAGAGATTGCGGAGGCCCCTCCCCCCCTCTCCCGGAAAAACCTAAGGAGAAAACCTTTCCATCAACGATAAAATTGATTGTCTTCAATTTATTTTTCAAATGGATAAGTATCGTGGTATTCATAAACGTCCGTAAGTAATTCGAGACGGGCGGAAAGCGAAGATTTGCCTTCATTTTTTCGTGATACCGAATAACTACTCCGGAGTTCGAATAGTTGCGCGCTGGTTGTCCCTTTTGATTAGTGTTGTCGATTCGTTTAAAATTTTTACGCAAATTTCCCTGAACATCGTTCAAATATACGATTTTTTTCAGCAGTTTTGTATGTAAGTTTACGTAATTGCGCGTTTTTCATCTCAATATCGCGGCAGATTAGCGATTTTTCCAGCGGTTTCGGAAAACCTAAGAAAATCACGAGATTTTCACCTCCATATCGCAGCAAATGCGCGATTTTTCTGCGGCTCCGCGAAAACACAATATTCTGCTTTTTAATTAAAAGTGCCCATCACCTATTAGTTGGAAAATATTTTGTCCACTCAAAACAGACGCCTTACACCAAGTACCTACCTAACTGGAATTTTTCTTCCCATCATTGACATTTTTCCCAAGAGGGTACAGAAGAAAACCTTCTAACCATTTATTCAGTGTTGAAAATCTTAGGAAACGATTAAACTACCAAAAATGTATGTAAAGAGAATTTGGAGGTATCCTTGAGTAAGAGTAAAACTCTCGTACAAAGAAGTACCAGGCACCTACGGTGGCTTTAACCGCCGCACAATGGATCGAGTTAATAAGAGAGGTTGGACATGAAATTTTTGACTAAAACTGCAAAGAGGTTGTTCCATCCCCCATTAGATTTGGCCCCCTATCAGATATGATCCATCTTTTCAGGAGTGATACAGTAGCATGCGAGACGTTCAAATATGGCGGTCATTTTGACTTAGGCCCCCCCAGAGAGGGGGGGCGGGGGGTCAAAGTCAAAACCTTCAACTGCCTATAACTTTTGAGCGAAAAATCGGATTGAGTTGAACTTTTNGATGGAACAACCTCTTTTGACGTTTATTCCGTCACATTTTAAATTTAAATGGGTGTTTCATGAAGTAAATTTTTAGAGAAAACCAGTGGAACCACTTTTAAGACCTCTAAGTTTGGTATGAACGGAGTTACAAGCTTTTAAAGTTTCCAAATTTTGTCCGACCTATCTCGTAGACTCGATTCACCGTGCGCCGTTCATTTCTATTGTTTATTTACGTCGTCGCTGAGGATTCACTCTAAGTCGGTCGTATTCACTCGGGAAGCAGCAGAAGCTAATATTGATACTTGTTATACGTGCGTAAACTGTGCACGAGAACACGTAGATAATTATTGGCCTCGTTAGAGACTTATCCGTCCAAGTAGCAAATGCCGGCGACTGATAACATTTTACCAAGCGCCGCATCGCGCCACCGGCCGGGGCACCGGTTATCAGCACAAATACAGGTGCAAGGTGTTTTCTCGGCTCTTATTATTATTATTTTTAAATCCCGTTTCCCGACGCCTGCGTAGTTGCCTTTTTCTCTGACAAATCGTCGTGTCCCGAACGAAGGAACGCAACTCCATTCCGAGGTTGCCAAATCGAATCTGCCGAATAATTTATTTTAACAAAAATATACCTACCTGTGCAACTTGTATTCAAATTTTTTTTCTGATTTTCGAATGAAATCGGAGGAAAAATCAGTAAGTAAAATTATCGGTCAAAAATGTGGAAGATGTTCCCCATTATTATGCAGTTTACGAAGGGAAATCACGCCAACGACCGCCGATCGTTAATCTCACGTGTACCTAATCCTTACGCTACAACCCTCGAATATCTTTCACTGACCGCTGGAAAAAAAAGTCGCTTGTATCTAGAGTCCAGACTCCTAATAGGTATCATAATGATACCTTATCATTGACAAGAGAAAATACTCTTGATTCAATCCCATTTTTCCTTGAATCGAAGAGCCGAGTCTGGATTCAGGCGGATTTCCTTTTGATTCAAGCAAAAAGTCCGATAGAATCAAGAGTATTTTTTCGTGCCAATGTTTTTAAGAGTCCAGACTCTAGGTTCAAGCGACTTTTTTTTCCCAGCGACCGATTTTTGGCCAATATTTCTCAAGATTTTTAACGTAACTTTGAAGTACCCGCAAAATAAGTTTTTTTGTGGCGGAATAGACATCAAAATTTGCCGTTCTTATTTAAAAAATCATGTCCGACTTCTGATACATGACTCCATTGTGCGGCGCGGCGAGAAGAGCCCCGTCCGAAGTCGTTGGCCGCTAAGAAGCGCGGTGAAATATTTCGGGTCATCTCGTATTCTCATGCTGGTAGATGAGGCGTTTAATTTAGGGATAGGCGAGCGTCATAAATTCCGCCGATTATGAAGTGAGCGCGTCGGTCGTATGGGTCGTGCGGTCCTCGGGCGTCCTTTGCGTTGCGTTGCGTCTGCGTTCGCGTTAATTAAACGGACCCGCGCCGTGCGGTGCGCCCGTTAGGCGTCACGCGCTGAGCCCGGCGTTTACGGCGCCTAATAAGCGCTCGCTTATCTCCGTTGCGGAGCACTTACCGAGCAATTAGGTCTGGTTAAGATGAAGAGCAAGAGCTACCCGCGACTTTTCTCCGTCCTATGTCTCTGCTGATACCGTGTTTCCCGAGCGAAAGAACGTAACTTTATTTACACCGCGTTTAGCAAAAAAGAACCAAGCCACATCAGCTACTGCCAAATTTAACTGGGCAATTAAATTTTCTACAAGAGAACGCGTGTGCGGATTCCTTTGAAAATTTTGAAGAATTTGCTTCGTACTTCACAGATAATTCACTGAAATTTGCATAAAAATCCGCTTAACCGCGGTTTTTATGTAAAAAATAGAAATGCCTAGGTCAAGTTGGCAACGGCCTGATGTGGCTTGGCTCCTTTCTGCCTAACGCAACCTATTTCAGCGTTGATGTTTCTTCTCCCAATGTCTAGTTTTACCCTTAACCGGAATCCTATTTTTCAAAAAAGGCAAAATCGGCGTGCAAAGAGACTAGATTAAAGGAGGGTAGAATGATAAATTAGGATGAAAGGGAAGGAGTAACCCCTGTACTGCCGTGCCAAGGAAAAACGCCGTATGAGCCTTGATGCGTTGCCAAATTTCCTTTGATGAAAAACGAATTTACTGGAAAAGTTCCAAATGTTTTTCTTTACATGTTTCAGGCAATTTTTTTCACATTTTAATCTAAAGCATCTAAAAATTCCAGGAAAAATATGCATAAAATTCTTCAAAAATACATGTTTTATCCGCGGAAATTTGGCAATTCCGTTCATCCATAGCCTGGTAGTA